AAAAAAAAAAAAATAAAAATCACACGAACAAACAAGAAGCAAAAAAGACAATTGCATTGAGTTAAATAAAGGGAAACAAAAAAGACACCTTCGTAATTGCATTTCTTGAGCATCTTCTCAAGAATCTTCAACCACGTGGGATCGTCATCCACCACAAGAACCCGCAGGCCCGCTGAAAACACTCCGACATTGGCGAAGAGAACCCACTTGGCTCAGACATAAGGCCGACACGATCCATATCCGTTAGTTTAAGGGTTTTTGATCGTTTGCTTTATGGATCTAGATTGACACCTATGTTCAACAGAATACCAGCCAAATCCCTCCGACGAGTCTAAATATCATTAGAGAAAACACCATGCAACTTGTTTCGTAACATATCTTTTGCTAAAGTTCACAGCAAAAGTTTTTCTTTAAGAGAAAAAATATTACCTTCAAAGTATTTGTGCAAAGACATATAGGCCTTGGGTTCTCAAAAGCTTCAATAAGTTCCATAAGCTCAACGACTGGAAACATCTGAGGAAAGATGGGAAAACAAAATCAATAACTAAATGAAACTTGAAATCAAAATCATAAAAGTGATGCAATATTCAGAGCATGTAAAACTACCTCAATAAAACCCTCAATCTCTTTTAAGCTGATCAACATAATCCTTGTGTGCCGCCCCTTCTTGCCTCAAAGCATTAAAGTTCGAAAGAACCCACATGACTGAAATAATAACCCAAACCTCGATATAAACCAAAGACAATTCAAACTAACAACAAAATATGTATCAAACAAAACATACTCTCTTTCATGTTTATCTGAATGTTGATGTTGGAAAGATCAGGGGCCCTATTCGCCTCTTCTTCAAGCTCCTGCATTATCCAAAGAAATAAAATGATAAAAAAGAATAGTAAACACTGAAAAATTCTTTTCTAGAGGATAGAGAAACATAATATCCCATAATCCAAACCCCCGGGGCCGATAATGTGAACTTGTCATCTTCTTCTCTGATGTTAAGTTGTAATTTAGCTTATACATCTGCGTGTTCCTACACCCTTTCCTCGTCAATGGCTCTTGCTCTTGTTTCAATGTCAGACTCGTCAGAATTTGAATCTGAATCTGCACCAGCACCAGCATCCTCCTCTACACAAAAAATGAGTATGAGTACACATCATAATAGATGTAAAGCAATGCAGAGAATGATCCTCATAAGCTAATTAACATTAAAAGAAAACACTGGAAAAGGAAGAAGTACCTTCATCATCTTCATCCTCACTTCTGAGGAGTATATCATGGGCAAAAGGATCGTAACAACATTTTTGAAGAAGAGTCGCGTTACCGTGTTCTTCCACATCAGATTCTTGAAGCTCTTCAGGTTCACAACTGCCATCCGAATAAAAACTAAATTCTGCTTTTTGCTTCTTCAATGGAGGAGGATCTAACAATTTAGCACCTTTCTTTTTCTTATTGGGCACAGAACCAGCCATTTAACTGCATAAAAATGTTATCTTCGAAAATTATCTCACTTCATAAACAATAGAAGAGAATAAAATTTACAAGTTCACCAAGAATATATGTTGACAATACTCTCAATCAACTATGAACAGCTTGGTAGACTATGACTGATAACCAGTCGGCGACCGCAATTCACCAAAAAGAAGTACAGTAAACATCATTATTGAACAATAAGATCACAAAATTGCATTAACAAGCTAAAACGAAGAGAATTTCGCAAGAAACGAGACCTATTTCAGAGTTTATCAAATTTATCTTTTTCTTCATTTCTTTTTCCGCTAGCAACACACGCACAAAAGGAACAAGAACAAAAAAAATATATAAAAGAAAAAGACAGAGCAAAAATAAGATGAAGGTCAGTACCTGGGCTGCTTTAAATAAGTCAGACCAATTTGAATGCTCTTTTTTTTTTCCACAGGAAGACGGACTAAAAGTAGATAAGGAAATAAAAATAAAAACATACTGCTTTCTGGATTTTGTGAGTCATAAAAACCATTTTCTCATACACAAGTAAGCAAGCAGATCTAACCATTACTGTTGCCCGAAAGGTGCCGATGACCTTAGCGGCGTCGGCCGCCTCCTCTTTAGGAACGGTGCCGGTAGCGCTCGGACAAGATGGAGGGGGAGGAGAGGGTCTCAATAAGGCAGTGCTTGATGGCGTCGCGCGTGCGTTCACTCTGGGGCCAGATGTTGGAAAACTTCTCCACGACGGAGATGGTAGTGTTGTCGGACTGAGGCGGTAGTTCAGTATCGGCCATGGTGGTGGTGAATGAGGGGTTTGGGGATTCTGAATTGGAGTTTCTTGGGTAATGAAATTGATTGTCAACTTTTCTGAGCAAAGTTGCGTGTTGCAGGAGGACAAAAATTTTCTTCATCCTTCGAATTACATATCTATCCTCAAAAAGCTTTATTAAAAAAGGGTATTTTAGTCTACCAAAAGGTAAAGTTTCATTAGAGAGAAAGAGACCGGCAAATAGAAGCAAACACAGAGTTTTAAAAATAAGTCCAAAAACGATGTCGTTTAGGCTCAAATGGAGAGCAAAGAAAGCTGCCACGTGGCGGCTCATAAAGGGTTGTGCTGTTTTCTTATAAGATAGAGGGAGATAATAAGCATTATACCCTGGAAAGATAGAACACTTTGACTTATATATTACTACCTCCTATTCTTTTTAAATGTCATTTTGGCTTTATCAACTATTAACCAAAATAAATGTCGTTTTGAATCTTTTGTATATATTTTTCCATTATTACTCTCATTTAGTTAATAAATACACCACGTCTTTTCATATTCTCTTCATTTTTCTTAAAACATTCATTTCTATCTTCATTAATGAGGGTTATTATTGACAAAAAAATTATTCTTAATTAGTGTGCAACTTCACAAAACGACACTTATTATGAATAGGAGGGAGTATAAGTATATGGTATATAGAAAACCTGAAGTTAATACACTACAAAAAATCGTTAGAATTATATTCTAACGGAAAATCCAATGATAATATATTTCAATAGAAATTCCAACGGATATTTCAATGGTATAGCTTGCGTTAGAATTATTCCAACGAAAATATTCCGTTGGAAAGTATTTTTCATTGAAATTTTAGATGGAATTTGATGATTCCAACGGCTTTTGACCGTAGGACTTTCCGTTGGAATATGTTAGAATTTTTATTTTCACCAACGTTGAAAAATCTACTGTTGGAATCATCAAAATCCAACAGAAATTCCAATGGAATACTCATTCCAACGGAATATTTTTGTTGGAATTTCTATTGGAATAATTTCAACGGAAATAATAACATTGAAATATCCATTGGAAGTGCCGTTGTAATTCTATTAGAATATATTTTCATCGGAATTTTATCATTTTCTTGTAGTGATATGACAACACAGAGTAGTAATATACTGTTCATTATAGTGTTTTCTAAACATATAAAAATTGTAATAAACAACATATAAACATGTGGGAAGAGGGCCTTCAACTGTCAAAACAAAAATCGCTTAATCATCTATCAACTGTCATATTTCATTCTGTTACTCCACAATACATACACCCATTCAACTCTCACAACTCTCACTCACCTCAATTAATTTTCAAATCTTCCCAAAATTCTCTTCATTTTCAAACCTATTGATTCATATATGGCAATTGCAATAAAAAATTGGTGAAAAAAAGGAACAATGTTATGTACAAATATACCAAAAAATTAGGTGCATCATTTTTGTTAAAAAGAAAAATACATGAGGTGAGGAGCATCATTTTTACACACACAGTGAGATACGTGAGAAATACACAAGAAGAGCCCATCAAGCATAAATATTATGCTCCTTTCGTGGTTGAAGTTTAAAACAAACATAAAAGGCCCAGTCCATGTTTACCCCATGATATCACCAATTTTCAATTGGAAAAATCCTACGTTACAAGCCATCTTGAATCTTGACGTTGCTACAGTATTAATTTGTTTAAACTCTATTAAACTGTTAAACTTTTAGATAAAAAATTCATATTAAACAAAACAAGTTTGTATAGTTCAAAATATTATCCGTCAATATATGTCAATTTTGATCCGATACACTAATAAATAATAATGCAAAATCTGTAAAAAAAATAAAAAAATAATACGCAGTGAAAGAAAATTTTAGCACACAAGTGATAAAACATCGATAAATATTTAATGTATAAAGGCTTTAATGTCTTACAGCCAAAAAACATTTGCAAGGCCAAAAAAATCCAAGAAATTATTACACAAACTAGTGTAGGAAAAGATGTCCACGTGGAGGGTGATGGATGAAGTAATTGATCCCCATTGGTCAGAAATCTATCCATTCGAATCCATGAGATTTGGTTCCAGATTTCAGCCATCCTACTTGGCTCCCTTCAGCACTCAACACTCCCTTTAAGTCACAAACGCGTCACTAGCCTCCCTTTCTATTACTGATTACTCATTCATACAACAATTTCAAACTATTACAACTACTATAAGTATCCCGACATACCGGGAATACTTCAAAAAAAAAAAAAAAAGAAAAAAGAAAAAAGAAAAAATCAAGGGCCAAAAAATTATACAGAAAGTCGAGAGAGACGCATTGATATAAATATGGCTTCAACATCTGCTGCATTGGTAAATGGCCTTGGATCGGCCTTCCTCTCCGGCGGCAAGAAGACTCAGTCACTGCTCTCAGCCCCTGCTTCCGCCCGGCCCGCGGCCCCCAAGCGGCTCATTGTAGCGGCTGCCGTCGCCCCCAAGAAGTCTTGGATTCCGGCCGTCAAGGGCGGCGGCAACTTCATTGACCCCGAGTGGCTCGATGGCTCGTAAGTCCCCTCTCGCTCGATTCACTCTAAAGGCTCCAATTGGATCGATAATTTCAAATTTTGAAGCTAAAACATTTAGTTATTGAGAAAAAATAAATAAATATTTCAATCTATCGCTTTTTATATTTTTAGCTACCTTTTCAGTTATAATCGTCTAACAGGTGCTATTGGTTGTTAATTTTTTTTTTAGTTTTGTCTCGCTTTATTCAATCCAATTTTGTCACATGAATATTATAAATGCAATCAAATATTAAAAAGATATTAACCGTTATTATACATTTCCCAACAAAATTTATCAACTTACATATTTTACCTCTCAATTATATACAATCATTGTTTTACTAGGATGATTCGGTTAGTGCTTTCCACCGTTGGATACATGTAGATTATTTAATGTAAATAATCTACGATAAAAAAAAATATTGGCAGAATAATTCCGTTAACCAACTGGACTGTAGTACGTAATTCCGTTATATATAAATTACTTGTAGTAATCATTACATTTTATTTCACATTCATTCATAAACTCACAATCAATTCATTATCTTATCCAATTCCTCAAATCGAACTGAATTAATCAATCCAATCCAATAAATCGAAATTTCACACAGGCTGGCGGGGGACTACGGTTTCGACCCGCTGGGGCTCGGGCGCGACCCGGCGTTCCTCAAGTGGTACCGCGAGGCGGAGCTCATCCACGGGCGGTGGGCGATGGCCGCGGTGGTGGGCATCTTCGTGGGGCAGGCGTGGAGCGGGATCCCGTGGTTTGAGGCGGGGGCCGCCCCTGGGGCCGTGGCCCCATTCTCGTTCGGGACGCTGCTTGGGACGCAGCTTCTGCTGATGGGGTGGGTGGAGAGCAAGCGGTGGGTCGACTTCTTCAACCCGGAGTCGCAGTCGGTGGAGTGGGCCACCCCGTGGTCGAGGACGGCCGACAACTTCGCCAATGCCACGGGGGAGCAGGGCTACCCGGGAGGCAAGTTCTTCGACCCGCTCGGGTTCGCGGGCACGCTTGAGGGCGGGGTGTACGTGCCCGACGCGGACAAGCTCGACCGGCTCAAGGTGGCCGAGATCAAGCACGCGCGCCTCGCCATGCTCGCCATGCTCATCTTCTACGTCGAGGCGGGGCAGGGGAAGACGCCCCTCGGCGCACTAGGCTTGTGATTGATTCCAAGTTTGTTTATTTGTTGTGTAAAGGAGAATCTTGATTTTATTGAGCAATGTAATTTTGAATTTTAGCATACATTTTTACGTTTGTCTCTCTACATTTTGCAAAAATCGATTAGAGAATGGTATCTATGTCATAATGCGGTAAATTAATACATGCATGTTCTGTTCACCAATACTAGTTTGATTAATCATCGGTTTTTATTTAAATTCTGTCAATGAAATAATAATAATAATAGCAATGACAAGAAGTGTGAGTTCAACATCTTCCCTCTTAATTCGACAACCTACTAACACCACTGCAAAACCCATGTCAATATACAATGAACACAACACGCAAACCAAAAGCAAATAAGCAAAAAAAGATTATATATGAATGAGTGTTAGAATATTTCTTGTTTATTGTCCCATAGGAAAGAACAAGATTATTAGCATAGTGGGCTATTCTTAAATCACTTTTAGAATGGAACTTTATTAAGGTGTTATTAGGCTTGCTCTCTTTATAATATGAAAACAAAACATCAAAATAATATTGAACGAGACATTGAACAGTGTGTATTGTATGAACAAGAGAGGAAAGCTTCTGTAAACAGAGGAGAAGCGAGAAAAAGAAAAAGTTGAGCTAATGAACCCTAATCTTCTCTTTTATATTTAGAGAGAAGATAAACCTAATGGACTAAACATAATGGGCTAAATAATACTACAACATAAAAGGCCCAATACAATGTTAAACTACAATAAGCCCAATAATGATATAAAACCCAATTACATAGTTGTTACCCCCCCGCAAGAGGAACATGTATATTGGTCATGTTCATCTTGGATAATAAGTAATGAAAGGGCTGAGGTCCAAGTGCTTTAGTTAGAATATCAGCAACTTGGTCCTTAGAAGAAACATGGTGAAGTTGGATGATGCCTCTTGAAATTTTCTCCCTGATGAGGTGACAGTCAATCTCGATGTGTTTCGTCCTCTCATGAAAAATGGGATTATGGGCCATGGTTATAGCTGACCTGCTGTCTGAAAAAATAGACACTGGAAAATGGTGTGAGATTTTTAGGTCAGAAAGTAAATATAGAAGCCACTGGGCCTCACAGGAGGCTGAGGCTAGGGCTCTATATTCACTTTCTGCAGAGGATCGGCTGACAGTAGTTTGTTTCTTAGATTTCCAGGAAATAAGAGAGTTTCCCAAAAAAAAACATGAAACCAGTTATACTTTTTCTTGAATCAACACAGCCAGCCCAATCACTATCACAAAATGAATGTAAAGAAAGAGAGAAAGATCTGGGAAGAAGAATACCTTTGCCCACTGACTGTTTAATGTCCCTTAGAACTCTTTGTGCTGCAGCCATGTGGATGGTAGTTGGAGTGCTCATGTATTGACTTAAAGCCTGCACACTATAAGAAATGTTTGGTCTTGTAATAGTTAGGTAAAGCAGCCTGCCAATTAGCCTTCTATAGGATGTAGGATCTATGGACTCATTAACATTTTCAGCAAGAGAAGTGAGTTTAAGGTTATTGTCCATAGGTGTACTAGCAGGTTTGCTTCCCAATAAGCCAGAATCAGATAGTATGTCTAGGGCATATTTTCTTTGGCAAAGATTTATGCCTTTTTCAGAATGAGCAACTTCAATGCCTAGAATATACTTAAGTTGACCAAGATCTTTGATAGTAAAACAGGCATCCAAATGGTTTTTAATGGCTATGATTTGATCAAGGTTGTCACCAGTTAGTATAATATCATCCACATATATAAGTAAGGCCAGAAAATGATCAGCAGATTGTAAAGTAAATAATGAACAATCAGATATGGATTGGCTGAAGCCATAATTCAGTAAACAAGTGGTTAACTTTTGAAACCATTGTCTAGAAGCTTGTTTAAGGCCATATAGACTCTTTGTGAGTTTGCAAACTTTAGAATTATGAGAGGAGTCAGACAAGTAACCAGGGGGTGGGGACATATATACTTCCTCATTGAGGTCACCATGCAAGAATGCATTGTTGACATCTAATTGATGTACATGCCAGTGTTTTATGGATGCAACAGCAAGGAGTAGTCTTACAGTGGTTATTTTAGCAACAGGAGAAAAGGTATCAAAATAATCTATACCTTCTTCCTATGTATAACCCTTTGCTACCAATCTTGCTTTATATCTTTCTACAGATCCATCTGACTTATATTTTATTTTAAAAACCCATTTACACCATATAGTGTGTTTACCAGCAGGTAAATCTGTTAAAACCCAAGTATTAGTTTTCTCAAGAGCTTGCAGCTCTTTGTTCATGGCTTCTTGCCAAAGTGGGTCTTTAACAGCTTGTTTGTATGTTTTGGGTTCAGTCAGGGTGGAGATGGATGCAGTAAAACATGCATGAGATGATGAAAGATGTGCTGTAGAAAGATGGTTTTCAATGGGATATTTTACAATACCATGAGATGTTCCAGAAACGTTATTTTGTGCTTCACTGAAAATAAGGTTAGAAGATGAAGGGAGGGAATGTTTGTATATGTTCAGGTAAGAGGGAATAGTTCTTGTTCTGGTTGATCTTCTGTGTGGTGAAGAATTAGGTTGGGGAGCAGGGCTTGGAGAAGACAGTAAACCAGGTGAGGCAGGAGGGCCTGTAGGTAAGATAGTAGAAACAGGGTCTATATTTACTGTATTTGGGTTGATAGGATTGTATTTGATAAGGTCAGAAGGGAAATCTGTGGGAGTAGGAAACATAGGGGAATTTTGTTGAGTGTCAATAGAAGGTGGTTGTTGAAAAGGAAGCACAGTTTCATAAAATATAACATTTCTAAAGATTATAATTTTATTGGTCTCCAAGTTGTAAAGCCTATAACCTTTACAACCTAGTGGATATCCAAGCAATATGCACTTTGATGCTCTGGGATCAAACTTAGATCTGGCTTGTTGCAGAGTAGATACAAAACATAAGCATCCTATGACTTTGAAATGATCATAGGTGGGTTTCTTTTGAAAAAGAAGTTCAAAAGGTGATTTTCCATGAAGAACATTGGATGGGATTCTATTAATGATATGAGCAGCAGCAGTGATACAATCTATCCAAAAATGTAAAGGCAAATGTGCATGAAACATGATTGCCCTAGCTACTTGTAATAAATGCTGATGTTTTCTTTCTACTCTGCCATTCTGCTGTGGTGTTTCTACACAAGATGTTTGATGAATGATTCCATGAGAATGGTAAAAATTATGCAAAAGAAACTCAGTACCATTATCTGACCTAATGATTTTGATCTTTTTGTTGAACTGAGTTAGAATAAGGTTGTAAAAATGTTGAAGATAATGATGTGTGTCTGATTTCAAAATCAAAGGATATATCCATGTGGTTCTGGTGAAATCATCCACAATTGTGAGAAAATATTTATGACCTGAGATAGAAGGTACAGAAAAAGGACCCCAAAGATCACAATGAATCAAGTCAAATGCAGCAGATGTAGTAGATGTGCTAATGGGAAATGGTAATTTCTTTTGTCTACTAAAATGACAAATGTCACAGGGATTGTGCATATGAGACTTGCAATTAATAGATAAAGGCAATTGTGAAAGCTTATGATATGATAAATGTCCAAGTCTGACATGCCATAATTCAGAATCAAGAGGAGATACATTTGCAGCATTAGCATCAGAATTATTTGCAACATGAATATCAGAAGTATTTGCAACATGGTTATCAGAAGTATTTGCAACATAAGTATCAAAGATATTTGCAACATGAGTATCAGTATGTAAAGATAGATGGTATAAGCCATTCTTTGCTTCAGCAAAACCAATCATTCTGTTGGTTTTGAGATCCTGTAAGATGCAATAAGAAGACAAAAAATTGACACTACAATTATTTGTAACTGTTAGTTTAGAGACAGATATGAGATTGAAAGTAAAAGTTGAAACAAACAACACATTATACAGCACAAGATTAGGCCCCAGATTAATCTGTCCCACATGGCATGCATAAGTGTGTTGTCCATTTGGTAAATTAATCTTAACAGAGATAGATGTAGGAGGAGAAGAGTATAAAGATATATCACATATCATATGGTCAGTAGCACCAGTATCAAGAATCCAAGTTGATGTAGGAAAATTAGAATGAACAGAACATGAAACATGTAAGTTACCTGCACCAACATTTGCAGATGTGGAAGAAGTGAAAGCAGTAGCAACCACAGGAGATGAAGGAATTTGTGGCTGGACTGTGGCTTGTTTAAGAGTTTGTGATCTCTTAAAATCTAAAAACTCATGAAAGAGAGCATCAATCATGTTTGGATTAGTGTTTTCAGTCATGTTTTGATTAGGAAGTGAAGTGGAACAGAGTTGGCAGCTGTGTGAGATGGATGAATTCTTGGTCCTTTAGGGCCAACCCAATCGGGGGGATAACCAATAACTTGATAGCATCTTTCAGAGGGGTGATTGTAGCCACAGTGTTGACATTTGAATTTCTTTCTGTCTTTAGAGAAGGGTTGGGATTTCGGTTGAGAAGGTTGGAATTTGATATGAGTTGGAGGTTTGGTAAGTAACATAACAAGGTGATCAGAAGTTTTGTTTGGGATATGTAGGTTTCTTTGTCTTTCTTCTTGAAGGAGGAGTGAATACACTTTGGACAGAGATGGAAGTGGTGATGGTAATAGAAAATGACTCCGCAAGGATGAAAATGAGTCATTAAGACCAATGAGAAATTTCATAACAGAATCAGACTGTTGAGCAGCGCACATGGCATCAAAAATATTGCAAGTACATGATTTATAAGCACCACAAGTACAACGAATGACAGGACGATAAGTAATGTACTCATCCTATAGAGATTTGAAGGAATTATAGTACTGTGTAATAGATAAAGAGCCCTGGTCCATAGAACTGAGGGATTTTTCAAGTTGGAAAATCCTAGGACCGCTACTCAAAGCATATCTCGATTTAATTTCATCCCAAACATCTTTGGCAACAGTGAAAAAGAGCAAGGATTGATGAATATCTTTGGACACAGAATTAAGAAGCCACGAAAGTACCAGATTATTCGCTTGAATCCAAGCAATAGAATCAGTAGGAGATTGAGTAGGAGAGGGGACCGAAACAGTACCATCAATGAAGCCAGCTTTATTTTTAACACTGAGAGCCATGAGAACGGCTCGAGACCACGAAACATAATTGTCTCCATTGAAGACCTCGGCAACTATGAGTGCACCAGGATTGTCATTCGGGTGAACGAAAAATGGAGAGGATGGATCATCAGTCGGCAGAGAAGTAACAGTAGCCATAGATCGTGATTCCAAAACGTCAACCGAAGATAGAAAACTCAAATCTAAGGGTTTGAAAAAGCAGATCTAGGGTTACGAGAACCAGATCTACGAATCCAAATACCGATCGAGATTCCAAAAAAATGATCTAAACGATGCAGCGGAAGATTAAAACGTAAAGGATCGATTGAAACTCAGTGATTGATACCATAATATGAACAAAACATCAAAATAATATTGAACGAGACATTGAACAGTGTGTATTGTATAAACAAGAGAGGAAAGCTTCTGTAAACAGAGGAGAAGCGAGAAAAAGAAAAAGTTGAGCTAATGAACCCTAATCTTCTCTTTTATATTTAGAGAGAAGATAAACCTAATGGACTAAACATAATGGGCTAAATAATACTACAACATAAAAGGCCCAATACAATGTTAAACTACAATAAGCCCAATAATGATATAAAACCCAATTACATAGTTGTTATTTTATCTCTATAGGACCACACCCTTTCAATATATAAAATGATGCTCTAGTACAAAAGAGGTATGGACTACAAAAGATAAAATACTTATTTTATTCAATTATATCAATTGAAACATTATCAATTTTCATGATAAATCTATCAATGACATATCATGGTCAAATATATAAATTTATTACTAATTATGAGTAATCTGGTTATTTTCACACAATTCTCAATCACCCACCCACTTTAGTGGGTTCCACTCCAAACCACTTGCCCTACCCTCTCTCTCATACACAAACACACACACACACACACACACAAAGTCACGGTCTGCCGCCACACGCCACTAACCCCACTGCTGGCACAGTCGATCTCTCCATCAGCCCCGCAGCAGCTACAGTTTGCCTCCAGAATCCTCTTGATACAGGCCGCCTCCGTCGCGCTCTTGCAATCACTGTGTTCATCATAACAATCTTCGTCGCCGCTCTTGCCCTCACCGCCAAGCCGCGGCCAGTGTCCGACATAACAATCGCCGCGTGTCTTTGTGAGAATGTTGACATCCGAGTTCGCCCATGAGACCGAACCGGGCCACGCAATTCCGAGAGCCGAACCCAAGATCCGGTCGACCCATAGAGCGCCGAGCTGGACCGAAAAATTCTTTGACCCTGGCATCGCCGTGAGACCATTCGTCAGTTCGGTATTTTCTATTACAACACCGTGGGTGCCGGGCTGACAAATGACGGACTGAAAGAAAGATTCCCTGGGACCAGGGGAACAGATGGAGGTAAGATGCCGAGGTGCCGATTTGGGGTCCCAGAGCGGGCCTCTACAACGGAGAATGCCGATCTCTATAATGGTATAATAATGCCACTTGGAGAGCAATCATTGGCTAAATGGATGGAACATCATAGCCTGCAGACCTACTCCTCTTAGCTAAGACATAAAGCCTGTCAGCATTAAATGCCTGCCACCCAATGATGAGGAAAACCTCAAATCGCATTTAATGCTGTCAGAGAAGCGCCGGACTATCCTGCAGAAACACTGTACGACAAGACCGATGAACAGTACCTGAACAGTGCCACATTAAAGGCTACTATAAATAGCAACCCTTCTCATTTATTTTGGGTTGTTGAACCTCAACTGTTAAAAGCTCTTTCTATATTTTCTCTCTCTAAAACTTGTAAGGAATTTCGTGTAAGAAATATAAGTATATCGCAAGTGCCGACCTCGTACGAGAGGCCGACCTCGTGATCTTTTAATAACACCGCAATTAAACCGTATTTCCTCGTCTTTTCCTTATTTCTTTTCCATTATTTATCTTTTTAACCGTTGACCGGAAACGCCCGTCAACAGTTTGGCGCTAGAGGAAGGGCACCATAAGTTACTTGGTGTCAATTTTTCGATCTTGTGAAGTTACACACACCGCACTCATCTTTTTTCACCTTTTCGTTTCTAAAAACCACTCAAAATGCCTTCATCCGGACATGACGACTCCACCCAGCAGTCCGGCTCCCAGTCTCGCCGCCGCAACGGCGGGGAGTCCTCCCGTCGCGCTCAGCAGGGACCGATCGTTCCCGTACCCCCAGTTCCAACTTTCGCTGCGGTGTTGCAGCACCCCGACGTCCTGAAAGCCCTCGAGGGGGTCTTCGCCAAGGCCCTCGCCAGTCAAACCGCCGGGGCGAACACTGTGGTGCCCACGGAGAACCCCGGCAACACTCTGCTCCACACTCCTGAAAAGGAGATCGGTGGACAAAGGAACCCAGCAAAATCCAAAACCACGGCTCAATCGCCGAACCGCGAGGCTCAGAACCGTCGCGACAAAAGTACCAGACCGGCTCCCACAGAGCAGACGGGGGAGAGCCGGCCAGAACGAAGCCTCCCGGTCATTCGTCGCTCCGTCCACCAACGCTTGGGAGACAAGAGTCACGCCAACCACGATCTCCGGGAGGTGATCAGACGAGGCAAAGCCATCGGCCACGACACCGAGGAAGTCGCGGCCCTCAAACGCAGAGTTGCCGAATTGGAAGGTCGGCAGCTCACTGGGAGCGAGTTTTCACTCCCAGGCCACCAACAAACTCACGCGCGACCGACCCCTCGGATCGCGGATAACGCCTCACCTCTCTCCCTCGATATCCTACAAGAAGCCGTCCCAAAAGGAATACAGATACCGCAGCTCGGCCTCTATGACGGGAGCTCAGATCCCGATTCCCACCTCGGCCTCTACACCTCCTGGATGGACCTGCACGGCGCCTCCGACGCCCTGCGCTGCCGCATGTTCTCCCTGACGCTGGGGCCCAAGGCGCAGAGGTGGTACCACTCCCTTTACCCTC